AACCAATGATGAGTATGATGCAGGACTCTGTGTATAATAATCACATTTATTGTGGGCAGATACAATCAGTAAGTTCTCCAAATGCTCAGGATGTAGAGAAGAATTGGGAATCTGTAATTCTATGTAGCAGTTCAATTGCCAAGCTCACCCAGTGAGCTTAATACTTGAAAGGTGTTTTGAACTAAGATCTTCCTGTTCAGATCCTACCCCCTAGAGCAGGGTCTGCAACCTTTAAGACAAAAAGAGCCACTTGGACCGAAGAAAAAACAACTGGGAGCTGCAAAGCCATTACGACATTTAAAACAGTGGGGAGTGTCGGGGCACACAATGCACCTCCTCCCCTCGCTAGTATCCGCCCCAGAGCCGCGGCAAAGGTGTAAAAGAGCCACATGCGGCTCCGGAGCCGCGGGTTGCTGACCCCTGCCCTAGAGCATCAGTAGGGAACCTTTTTTGGCCTGGCAGGCCATATATATGTAACTTCCCTACCCCGTGGCCAACTTTAACAGATGGGCAGAGCCAACCACCTGCCAAAGTTAACCCACAGGAAATAGACACGCTAAGCAGTCAGCTGATGGACAGGTAGACATGGTTTAATGGGGTTTGTGTTAATCCAACTACTGCAATATATAAAGTGAATTGAGAGTAGATTCCCATTTTTAGAAGTGTGATCTCAACTGCCAAATCTGGTCACCTTATGATATCAAAGTTCCAAGATACATCAGTAGCTTTTTGCACATTGTTCCAGCCTGCCTGAACACACAAAATTCCCAGGTGAAGAAAGAGTCTTACTATTTTGCAGGGTTTGAATGTTACACTCAACAGGTGTAAATTTTGAGGAAGAGATGTTTATCTGTCCTTTACAAGTGCAAAACACATAAGAAAATAGTAGTTTAGGGTTTTTTAAATCTCCACTGCACCCAAATTCCTGGGTTGTAAGCAAGTCTGGCTTCCTTCATTTCTGGTACACATGACTAGGAATGTAGCCTGTACAAACTCAGCTGGGAGTGTACCCTATGGAACGTATGTTATTAGGACAACTAGCCTCTTGTGGCAGCAAGAGCAGCACATTTCCTCCCTTTGTGAGAGTTTTGTTAAAGAGTGATTAAATGGAGGACATGGATGTTTATAACCAGCCTTAGGAGCAAGATTTTGACACACACTTCTCATTTTCAGTGCTGTACCATGTGCATTTGTTAGTGTCTGTTTGGTTGCATCATTCTGATAGTCTGTCCAAGTTGTGTTTGTCTAGCAGCTTGTCTAGCACCACCTGGGGGTGGTGGAGGGAATTCCACTACAATGCTGTTAGTGAATCTTTATGGTATCAAGGGAAAAAAGCAATCCTTAAAGCTAACAGTGAAAAAATTGTTTGGTACAAATTGCAAAATGACCTTAATCAAGGGCTTTCACCTCAGTCTTTTATAACCAACAATCCACTGCTAATGGATAAATCTCCACACCATACATAATTTTATAAAACACTATCCTGTGCTACAAACATAGCCTTTCCTAGTAGGAAAGGTACTCCAGGTCCCCATTCATTTTTATTTCCCTACGATACTATGTGATGGGCTTGTCAGAATTGTGCAAAGTATTCCAAGTGTGTCTGCACTGCAACTACATATTAGGACATTACAGTACTGACAGTTGTATTTTAGTCCTCTTTCTTATAATCAAAGCTACCACATATATCCAACATTAGCCAGAAGTATGACTAATTTTGGATGTTACCAAGTATCTCTCGGGTGGGGAGAATATTTTTTTATTCATGAAAGAAGATAGAATACAGAAAAGAAAAATACAGCTAATATCCTTTGAATACATTAGGACAATTCACAAATTTACAAATCATATCCATAAATTATTGAAGTCAGAAGGATTCTGCAGCATCAGAGTATCAATCAGAGTTCACAACTATATCTCTGTATCTCGGTATTTAGAGATCTTCTGAAGAAAAACTTTTAATATATTGTGTGGTGCTGCTAACAAGTTCTAGACGTTGGTGTATTGTACTAGGATCATGTGGCTGTTGCATGAAGAAAAAAATCTTCCGGGCGGGGGGGGGGGGAGTTATTTAAGTCTCTGCTTAATCCAAGCTGATAATTCAGTTTCTCTGATATGGCCATACTTGGGTCATATATTTTTCTATGCTTACACCTAGATAGTTTCAATATCTTGATACTAGCATTCTTGCAGTTGTAAGTATCTTATTTGTAAGTATCTTTCCATTGGTCTGGGGGCCATCCCCAAAGAGCCAAGGTGGGGATTGGCTATGAGATTTGTTTTGTGATCAGATTTCTGCAAACACAACTTCCCAAAATTCTGCTGCCCAACACTCCTGCCAGATGAGCATATGTTTGCCTTCTACTTTCTTGTATCTCCAGCATCACAGAGAGATTGTTGCTGTTGTAAGATAAGAGCTGCAGGTGTGCAGTACCATCACAAGGCCATTTTTAACAGGGCCTCTTGGATGTGGGCTGAGATCAAGGGAATGGAGACTGAAAACCAAATGTTTCCCTAATCTGAGATGTCTATTGTGCTAACTTTTCCCAGCACCCTTGGAACACCTGAGTCTAGCCCAGCCAATAGCCTATAATGTATGAATTTGGGAAACATGCCGTGGCATTGGTATTGTGGGTAAAAATCGTTTGCTCAAAGTACCTTTTTTACTGCAGCATCATATGTTGTTGGCCTTTCTTGAGTAGACCTAGCAGTCACACTAATTTCAGTGGGCCTACTCTGAGTAAAATCTATTTGACTAGTACCCAAAGATGGTTTTAAAACCATTAAAATTGAAAATAATCATGCTAATAGATTAAAACTAAATACCAGTACACAAACAAGAGCCAATCAAATCTAATGCTGTCAAAAGCTAAAGCATTTTTAAGTGGTACCTAAAACTTATCTTTGGGAAGGACCATAGCTCAATAGTAGAACATACGTCCTGCATGCAGAAGGTCCATGTTTTGCCTCCAGCACTTCTACATAAGGCTGAGAAAGCTGTTTGAACCCTGGAGAACTCCTGACTGTTAGTATAGAGTACATTGAGAAACTACAGGTGGTGGTCTAAAGTTTGAGACCCACCGAAGAAAAAATCCCTTCTGTGGCCACCCACCTTTCCTGTAGGGTCTTTTAATATATGGGTATGGTCGCATTTTTATTCGACATAAAGTATAAGTCCTTATATTTAAAACAAACTACACTAGGATTCTAGCAGTTTATTATTTTTTATGCACAATTTTGACCAAGCTCCCCAGCTTTCTCCTCCCAGCCCTGAGGCAGACTAGAGCTAGTGAAGGAGCCCAAGGTCACCCAGTGAGCTTCATGGCTAGTCCAGTGCTCCATGTTTGCCCTACTTGCAATTTGACTCCTTTGAACACTATATTTGTAGGGCAAATTGCCTCTGGTAGGTAAGAAACCAAGGCAGAGGAGCTGAATCTAAAACATTGGGCAGTAAATCACTGAATACAATTGCTATTGTTTTTCAGTGTTGGTGTTGCAGTGTTGGGAAGTGGTTCTTGGAACACTTGAGAGAGGGAGCAAAATCATAGGGCCAACCCTTGGTCACAACTCCACAATGAGTCTGGGTTCAGACAACACACTAAGCCAAACTATGGTTTAGCTCAGCATGGCAGAAGAGAAAAGTGGCTGCTGTCTCTTCTCCTAGAGCCCATGTGCTCATACTAAGCCATGGTTTGGTTTAGCATAATGTGTGAATCATGCCAACATGTAGACTGTTGGCAATGTCCAGTACAGCCTAGATGGAGGATGACACCTTGCTTCTGAGGTGTCGTTGGCTTCTAGCTGCTGTTATGCTTGTGTACAGCAAGACATTTAAGAGGCCCATTTGCAGCCAACAGCTGGAAGCTGGGAACTCGTCTAATATGTGTATTATACAAGTTAAGATACAAGACTTGTTTCTAAGAATTAGCAAAATTAAGGTAACAACATAAGCCTTAACTTATAGATGCTGTCACTGAGCTGTCGTAGCTCAGTCGGTAGAGCATGAAATGCTTAATATCAGGGTTCTGGGTTTGAGCCCCATGTGAGATAAAGGGGAAATAAAGTGTAATGTTACGTTGAAACTGTGTATACTGTATTCCAATTTTAAAAAAAAACAACGCAAAAACTTATAGATGCTATCAGCCAATCAGAAGGATCATTGCTGAATAATAGTAACTCCCCACCCAAAGCTAAATGGAATGTTATTACTGAATTACTATAGTAACCTTCAATAGTTGCCACAATGGAAAAATTACTTCCAGAATTAAACTGCAGTGTTTAAGACTGAAAGAAGCAGGATGCACAGCAACTGTTGTCATCATATTCTCCACGCTGCCCCAAGGGCATGTGGAAAGATCGTCACAGTGGGAACTGGTTGAATGGAAGCCAGTAGAGGGGTTACAGTAAAAAAAATTATAGCAGCACGATATCCTCTCTACAATGAAGACATTGCAGTAAAAAATGGTTCCTTTAAAATAAAATAGAAATAGCATCTATCCCAGGGGTCAGCAAACTTTTTCAGCAGGGGGCCGGTCCGCTGTCCCTCAGTCCTTGTGGGGGGCCAGACTATATTTTCTTGGGGGGGGGGACGAATTCCTGTGCCCCACAAATAACCCAGAGATGCATTTTAAATAAAAGGACACATTCTACTCAGTGGCGTAGCGTGGGTTGTCAGCACCCGGGGCAAGGCAAGTAATTTGCGCCCCCTAACCCGTGGATTTGCACCCCCTAACCCGTGGATTTGCGCCCCCTAACCTGTGGATTTGCCCTAACCCCAGATGTTGCGCCCGGTGCGGCCGGCCCCCCCTGCACCCCCCACGCTACGCCACTGATTCTACTCATGTAAAGATATGCTGATTCCTGGACCGTCTGCAGGCCGGATTTAGAAGGCAATTGGGCCAGATCCAACCCCCAGGCCTTAGTTTGCCTACCCATGATCTATCCCCTCATTTTGGTTGAATTGCTGGGGACAGAGATGCAATTGCTGGGAAACATGAGACCTCACTTTTGTACAGTCTACATTTTCCTAGAAAGATTTGAATGAAAAATACAAGGTACATCTGTGTGGGGGGGTGCGTTTGAGGTCATTGTGTCCAGTGGAGGAGCATGCACAAGCCCACACCTCCCCATTTTCCAGCCACTTCTGGGTTGCCGCAATGCGCATGCGTGCAGTCACACATAAATTGGTTGTTGCCTGTAGATGAAGACCAGGAACCTTATCCAGACTGAAATGAACTTCAGAGCAGCAGTAGCTGTAAGTGCAAGCTCTTAGTTTCAGTACCACATGTATCAGTCTGGACTTTCATTGTACACTTGCATTACAATTGCATCACCAAGTCACTTCCTTCCATTTGTACCAAGTCCAGAAAGGGCTGGCTATTTTTAACCACAGTCACCAATTTCAAATAGCTGCACAGAATTCTCCAGCTTACTTGAGAGATTCTCCTTAAGCTTTGAGCTTTGGTCAGATTGGCAAAAGTTAACTTGAGTAGGTCACCAATGCTCAGGAGATAAAACGCCTTCCTCTGCTGCTTAGGAATTCAGTCCCCTGTGGGCCCAGTCTTATACTGCCAACTCCTTGGACGTGGCCTAATCTTACTGGCATTCTGGTTCCAAAGAGGTTTCAACTTTTTGCTCGTAATCTTCTGTGGCCAGATCTTCTGTATGCAAGTTTCTTGTTTCTGCAATGAGCCTTTTCACTCCTACCATCCACTGGCTCACTTCAGTGACATGGTCCACAATTAGTGAGCGATGGATCTCATCAGCTGCATCCCAGTGCCGCTTCTTGAGCTCTGAAAGTAAAAAGAAAGCATCTCAGAACTGCAAAAGGTAATGAAAAAGTAGCCCAATTCAACTGCTTCCCCTGACCCTAGCTCCTAAGTCACTAAAGAATTAAGGAATGCAGATGTTTGTGGCTCCACAGGCCATACACATGGACTGCATGCTAATCCTACTGCAGCAGTAGTTCTGCTATAGGAATTATTTAAGGTGGCCAGAGGCTGTAAGATTGTCAAGTTGATTGATTAGGCATGACCCCGCTAATTGGATTTACGGTCCCCAATTAGCTCTTTATGGCAGGTCCGGCAGGTCCGGCACACTTCCTCTGAGCGCCTCTGCTCCTCCTGCAGCTCCAGTCACGCCGTAGCAGAGTTAACACAGCGGGAAAGCTATCACTCCATTTGACAAACACACAGAGTACAGGTTTGTCTATTTACAGTTGTTTATTCCAACATTTCTCCTGAAAATCCAGGACTACTTGCAGCCATGACAAACTGCGTCCTTTCCCCTCACAGCACAGAGAGGAACAGAACGAAACTCCTCCCAGCTTCGAAAGCTGACGTCAGAATGCTGAGGCATCATGGGAACAACTTAACCTGTTAAGTTCCAAACCCGACAAAGATAAGAGTTTACAATGAGGAATGTTGCCGCAGAGCATTGAACCTTGTCCTTGCTCCTTACCTTGTGTCAGAATCTTCATTCCCTTTCTCACTGGGGCAGAGAGTTTCCCTTGTACCCACATCTGCTGCAGGATTCCTAAGCGCTTGCTGATGTCATCACAAACCTGTTTCTGAAAGAAGCAATTCTTATTAGGAAGCACATCTCACAAAGGTTATGTTTATAACTTCTCACCACAGTTTTCTTGGTCCTCTTAAGACAAAAGGGAATGGCAAAACCCTCATTAGCTTTGAGCTCACAAAAAAGCAAACCCTGGGTAAAGCTGTTCGCCTGCCTTCATTTTCATCCTACCAGTTTTATAATTTCACTCTAATCTCTGCTAAAGCAATAGCTATACCTAAGACTTGTCACTGCAGACATCGTGCCAAAACATAGTTCAATATGATGTCCTAGTTAAACCATCTATTTTCAGAGTCTGGCACGCCCTCTAGCTCACTGTGGATACCATCTTTTCAATACAGCCTGACACATTAATCAAGTCCTCATTACAAGAAGTCCACAACAACAGAGCTCCAATTTTAAATAATATCTAGACCTGTTGGAATTCCAGCTACAGAAAGTCAAAACCATTTAACGTTAGATGCTACACTTAGATGTGATCCACAGTAATGCAAGAGACAGAAGCCTCACTCCATATATTTCTAATGATCAGCACCTCAGTTTTTTAGGTATTTGGCTTACATGCACATACAGGTGGCTGGAAAACTGCAAGCATCTTCCCATCTCATCCTCTTACTTCCCTTTCCCCAGAATGTCTCCATTATCTGGGGATCATTTTGCCTGCGTTTTTGTTTGCTATGTCTTATGGGGTTTTTTTGTGGGGGGTTGCTTGCTATCTTTCTCTCTCCTCTTTTTCTTCTTTCTGTAGTTACTGGGAGTGTTGTGCCGTTGGTTTATTGGAAGATGTTTTGTCTGGAGTTTTTGCTACCTACTTGCTTGGGTATGCTTGAGGCATGAGTTGTGGGGGAAGGCGGCCAGCTTTTTTTTTAAAAAAAAGTGCTTTGTTTTGAGGTGTATATAGGTGTTTTTATTGTTTCATGAGGTTCAGAGCATTGCCAGTTTTTTCTTCTGTGAAATGGTGCCCATTACACCTTCTCAGATTTCCAAATGTGCCCCCCACACCCTCTGCTCTAGCTATTCAACTAATCACTTCACTACAACGAAGCAGACCAGAACTGCTCATACAGAGGCAAAAGAACTTTCTTCCCTCCAAAGTAAAATGGGGAAATCCTGAAAAGGCAACAATTCTACTTACTGGTACAGATCTCCTGCAATTGGCCAGAGCCTCATTCAAGGGGGCAAGAACATCTTCCACATGGCAATCCTCTCCAGCCTCAGTGACGGGTTGGTTTGTGGCATCTACCCTCACAGAGCGGCTTGGCAAACCAGGAGGAGGCAAGCCCACCGGTGGCGGTGGAAGAGCTGACGACGCTGCTGAGCAGGTAGCACTTTCTGGACCAGGTGCTAAAAATACAAGTCAGGAGAAAGACACAATCAAGCATACAACCAGTGTATAGTACATAGAGAAAATCAAATTCTGGGTCTCAGAATCGGGCAAGCAAAGCCCAGCCAAGCCACACCCCTTAGATAGAAACCAAGACTTTTATGTCATTTGCCCAGTATTGTGGAACGCTCTGTCAACAGAGGTTCAGCAGACACCTTCTGTTTCAACTTTTAAACATCTGATGAAAACTTCTCTATTCCATCAGGCTTATGCAGGGAATTAAGAACACAACTTTCCACAATAGTTAGCTGATTTCAACTTTGTATATTTTTTGTTGTATGTTTTTATGTACAATTGTTGTACACAGCTTTGATTTTTTTTAAGAATAGCAGTATTTGTGTAAGTAAATAAATAAATTTGATTCAGTTATGTAGTTCCCACCGCCAGAATTTCTGCACGCACTTCCTTAGAGCACACATCACACAAAAACCCAACCTCCTGATCAAAACCAAATAGCTCTCAGAGGATGACCAGTTTTTTCTGAAGAATACCTATTGATCCCTTTAAAAATTGGGCTGGATGAAGCAGTTTCATGTTGAGAGTTTCACAGAATATTTTTAAATAGATATATCTGATGGGAAACCACTAGCAGAAAGAGCGCAATTCTGAGGTGGGTCCAGGAATTGCATCAGTAATCTTTAAGCAGGTCACAACTTTCTCCAAGAAGAAAGGGGTGGGGCCTCCAGTCTGGGAATGGAGCTGTGAAGGACGTCCTTCTGATCTTTCCGACTAAAAGGCCTTTAAACACTTGGAAAGCAGCTCTGTGCTGCCAAAAGATTAATGTCAAATGGTAAATAAACTTTCTACTATCTCTTTACTACTTAAGATAAATCACCATGTCTACCAACAAGAGAGCTGCTGAAAGATAGAAAGCGGCAGAAACTAACACTGAAAAAAATATGGCTGATGCAAAAAAAAAAAAAAAAGCTGACTCAAAGGCTACTGAGCATTAACAGGCAGACGCAAACACAGCTACTTTACAAAATATCCTGGCCCAGCTTCAAAACCTAAACCATATACAAGACCAGCTGAGAACTCTAACAAAAGACTTTAATGAGTTCTGGGTATAATTGGTGAACTGTGAAGGCAGACTGAACTCGTTTGAGAAATTTTCACAGGCCTCTCACAGCACTCTTCATTGTGGGAACCCATAGTCACACTTGTGATATTCTTAGAGAAAAATTCCTGTGTGATTCTTGCTGTGTGCCTGTCAATCTCCGGAACTGACTTTTATTTCTGTTTTACGTTATGATCTTCAAATCCATCTTGGAATTAGGAAATGCTACAAGTTATTGATAAGCATGGCCTTCCTTTGGACATTCTGAGTTTGGACATCTCGCCACATGAAATCTCCTATTTTAAAGCATGATTTTTGTGCTGATTGCACTTCTGCTTGTCTGTCCGAATTTGCCCCTTGGTATGCCAAACTACCCATTTAGACTCCTTGCCCTCACTATATAACCAGCATCCCAAATATCAAACAGAGAAAAGCCTTTACAGCTCTGCAGTTCCAGCCTATGCGTTCTGCCATAGTTGAAGGACACTATTGCAGGATCCCTTATGAAGAGAGTTTGCCCACATGGAGGAAATCTGCCTGAAGACTTACCCTACTAGACTGGTTGCCCGGTCTATGAGGATTAAGAGCAGCCTTGTTCAACAAGTTAAATCTCACAGGTGGGAGATCGACTGGGTATTTATTAGAGTACAAATAAAAAACAGCCAGCTTTGCCTTTAGAGTGGCAATTTTTGGGAGACGTTTGTGGGGGTGACAAGTTGAGGTCTTCAGGGGAGCAAGCTCTTATCCTCACATAATGTCTGGTTTTAATAATTTAGCTAACTGTTTAAGGTATTTCATTCTGTTTTATGTATTTTGCCCTTTGTAATAGCTTCAGCTCTCTGCATGTTTCTTATGGGTACATTTATTTATTGTTTAAAACTAATAATGCAAGCAAGACTCCTGAGCAGCCCTTCTACAGGAGGCCCTAGGGCTTGGAGTGAAGTTGGCTACAGGAGGCAGCGGGAGAGAGAGGAAGGAAGAGCCTCTGGAGGTGGGGAACTTGACCCACCTCAGCACAAACAAAAAAAATTCCTTCCAGTAGCACCTTAAAGACCAACTAAGTTAGTTCTTGGTATGAGCTTTCGTGTGCATGCACACTTCTTCAGATACATATGAAGAAGTGTGCATGCACACGAAAGCTCATACCAAGAACTAACTTAGTTGGTCTTTAAGGTGCTACTGGAAGGAATTTTGTTTTGTTTTGACTATGGCAGACCAACACGGCTACCTATCTGTAACCACATCTCAGCACAGGAAGAGATGGAGAGTCCCAGAGGCTCCTCCAGGGGTCACATTAAGACAGCCGCTTGCAGGGGCTGTTGGCTGGCTTGTTTACAAATTCCAGGAAACAAATAGATGGATGACTGAATAAGTGAACGTATCGGGACGGAGAGGGCGAATCCGCCCGCGAAGCAGATTTGGGTGGGAGCCTTGATTTTATAGTCCCTGTTAACAGAGGAGGAAGAGGAAGAGGAAGAGGAAAAGGAAATGGGAAAGGAAAAGGAAAGGAAAAGGAAAGAAAAGCATCTCAGCGTCTCCTCACCTGGCCCGTGAGGAGGAGGAGGCGGCGGTGCTGCTCCCGGAGCCGCTGCCGGGCGTCGCGTCAGGATCCCCCGCTTGCCGCCGCCGCCGCCGCCTCCTGCCCCGGAAGCCTGAAGCTGCTGCAGGCCGTACGAGAACTGAGGCGGGTCGTTCCAGCCGCGCTCCCGGTTCCCTGGAAAGGAAAGCGAGACGTCAAGGCCGTCCCTCCGCCGGCAGCCCTCCCGCCGCCCCCGGCCCCTCCGGCGCCCCCTCACCCGGCTTCACGTAGAGCTCCGCCATGGCCTCCCCCTCAGCGAGACGCGCCCGCAGCCGCTTCCCGGCGCCTGACGTGGCGGGCCGGATCCGGAGGGGGAAGGGCAAAGGAGGCCAGGCCCGCATGCGCCGAGGAGGAGGAGGCGGCGGGCCTCGGTCAGGGCCCGGGCGGCGCTTCGCAGGTGGACTCTGGCCCCAGGAGCCCGGCCGGCCTCGCCCGCCCCGCTCCCTTCTCCTTCGGCCGAGTGCCAGCCTTGCTCAGAAGGTGAGCCGCCGAGGTAAAGGTTGCTGCGTAACTCTAATAATAATAATAATAATAATAATAATAATAATAATAATAATAATAATAATAATAATAATAATAATAATAATAATTTATTTATACCCTGCCCATCTGGCTGAGTTTCCCCAGCCACTCTGGGCGGCTCCCAATCAGTGTTAAAAACAGTACAGCGTTACATATTTAAAACTTCCCTGAACAGGGCTGCCATTACTCAAAGGTAATACTTAGAAAAATGAATGTGAATATGAATATACACATTTAATTAAAATCATATTAACAACTCGGTGGGTCCCCGCCGTTGCTGTGCAGAAAAGCAGCACCTTTTTAATAACCATGTTAACAACAACAACAACAATAATAAATTTATAAAAGAAAGACAAGAAATGATTGTGGGCAGAGAAAAGAAAGGACTTTTTCAGGCAGCGCTGGGTCGGACCTGCGGAACTCGCTCCCTCCGGAGGCAGCGGAGACCAACTCGGGTGGCTTCAGGATGAGAGCAGTTCGCGGAGGAGGAGGAGGAATTTTTATTATTTCGGTCACAGACCAGTTCCAGCCACATACAATATCAAGGAAGTCATAAAACACGATAGGGATACATTTGAATTTGCAATTAGGTATAACAGAGACAATGCAGATATAGGTAAAGGGTAAAAGTACCCCTGCCCGTACGGGCCAGTCTTGCCAGACTCTAGGGTTGTGCGCCCATCTCACTCAAGAGGCCGGGAGCCAGCGCTGTCCGGAGACACTTCCGGGTCACGTGGCCAGCGTGACAAAGCTGCATCTGGCGAGCCAGCGCAGCACACGGAACGCCGTTTACCTTCCCGCTGGTAAGGCGGTCCCTATTTATCTACTTGCACCTGAAGGTGCTTTCGAACTGCTAGGTTGGCAGGCGCTGGGACCGAGCAGCGGGAGCGCACCCCGCCGCGGGGATTCGAACCGCCGACCTTTCGATCAGCAAGCCCTAGGCGCTGAGGCTTTTACCCACAGCGCCACCCACGTCCCCTTAATGCAGATATAGCAACAGTTAAAAACATAAAAATGCTTCCAAGTTCCCGTTGCTGGAAAGCGCAGGAGGGGAGAGTTGCTCTTGGGCTCTGGTCCCGCTTGCCGGCTTCCCATAACTGGCCCTGGCCCTCATCAGCTGTATGCCAAAGAAGGGCCTCCGTTTATGATTGCAGGGTCCAGGTCAGTTCATAGGGAGGAAGCAGGCCTTGAGGTACTGCGATCCGGAGCCATTTAAGACTTTATAGGTCAAAACCAGCACATTGAATTGGGCCCAGAAACTAATTGGCAGCTAGTGTAGTTGGGCCAGGATCAGTGTAATATGCTTAAACCTCCTTGTCCTGGTGCACCAGCTGGAGTTTCTGAACCATCTTCCAAGACAGCCTCCTTATAACACATTGCCGTAACCTAACCTAGAGGGAACCGGAACATAGATGGCAAAAGCTATTCATCTTTGGTTTGCACGTTTTGGAAATCACTGCAGCTCATGCATGACTCGTTCTGCATTTGATTAGCTTCATCTTGGAGCATCCTGGCAATCATACCAGCAGGCCATCTAACTCTTTTTTCATGCCATTAGTCAATCAGTGCTGCTGTCATTACGATATTTCCCATATTAAGTAACCTTGCTATCTTTACCATAATCCTTCTTATGTGTTGTAGCTAGAGATAGGCATTGCATCTCAGTCACTGTGTGGATTATATGACGTTTGTTTGCCTGCCTGTTTATATGATATAATAAAACAAAAAAATTATTTCCTACACATACTCCACTTGGCTAATAACCCTGATGATGGCTCTATTCTTTCTCCATGATTGATGGCAGTGACGCTTCTGAATACCAGTTGCTTGAAACCACAGGAAAGTAGAGAGTGCTGTTATGCTCAGGTCTTTTGGGCTTCCCGCAGGCATATGGTTGGCCACTGTGAGAATAGGTTGCTGGACTAGATGGGCCCCTGGCCTGATCCAGCACGCTCTCCTTATAGTTCCCCCACAGCATTGCACATGCATTGTTAATACAGTGGTACCTCTGGGTGCGGACGGGATCCATTCCGGAGCCCCGTTCACATCATGAGCAGAATGCAACCCAGTCTGTGCATCTGCACGTGCGCAAGTCACGATTCGCCGTGTCTGCGCATGCGTGTGACATCATTCTGAGTGTGGCATGCGCGAGTGACAAACCCAGAAGTAACCCATTCCATTACTTCCGGGTCGCCGCAGGACGCAACCTGAAAAGATTCAACCTGAAGCAAACATATGACTGTACAGAGTTTTGTTTTATTGCATGCCAGTCTCTGCACTGCCAGTGTCTAATGGTCTGTTGCGTCTTTGCCTTTTCGTTTCATAAAAGTGCACAGCCCAAGGCCCAGTATTTCCATACGCCCTTTGGGTTAAGTCATTTTAACAGCTTTGTCTAAAATTAATCCAGCATGAATTACTATATTTTCCATGTACAGTGTTCCATGGACACCAAAGGGAAGTCATTCATTTCGCACCGATATCAGCAGCTCATTCTAGCACCAATAAAATTACCTGAAAACAGAGACTAAAGATAAAACAACTCTAGATTTCTTCCATATTAGTAGTTTATTTGCACAAATGATCAGATATAAAGTATCACTGAGGTAGACTTGAGTCTATCTTAATATGGGGCTAGTTATAAATAAGATAAAGTTGATGGGTTACCTTATCTCCCAAACAGAAAAGAAAGGAACGTGTTTGGAGATTTACCCTTTCATCGCACCAGCCTCACTCCCCATTTCTGGACACAGATCAAATGAGACTCAGCAGTCACTTTTGCCAATGTTGGTGCAATAAGCTCTCAATATTTATAGGCTTTTTCTTTTTTAAAAAAATGGGGGGGGGGAGAATCCACAAGCAGCTTTATATTCTCCTTACCTGCATCTTACAAGTGTGAATCACTTGTCTGTCAGAGTTGCTAGCCAGCATTGGGTCCTACAGTGATGGCCTGGTCAATTCATTGTTCCCGATCCAAGTGCCTGACTAGGCATGCTGGTGTTATTAGGACAGTAATGAATGCCGATGACTCTCTCACTCACATACCAGACATTTTGCTAGTGAGCACTGGAGCTAAGCACCCTTTGATTATTCTAGGCTTCATTATGGTCACTGGCTTGTTTCAAAAGAATAGTTGCTACAGCACGTACAGAAGTTAAAGGATTAGCCCAGACGTTGCCAAAGAAACACAGGCCTGTTGCAGGCTATACTGTGAAGAGATAATAGTGTGGTGGCATCGATGGAACAGTGTATGGGAAGTAGCCAACATGGCACTGTGTGAAGAACATCCAATTGCACAATAAAACGTGGACCCCCCGTCCTCCCCCTGTGTGCCCTCTAAACTGTTATGGAGCAGATTTAGGGAGGGAGGGGGGTTGAGAGAGTCCTTATGTCTCAGTATGCCGATTCAAAAAGAAGAGACTATTTGTCACTTTTCAAGGGAAATATGTATCTGTACTGACATCTGATATATCCAGAGGCTCACAAGCATCTATTTGCTGCCGCAAATTAACACGAGTGGCTGTTCCATGGCCTGCCTAGGGTTACAGTCAGGTTTCGTATGCCAAGCATTCATGCTGCAAGCTGGGGAAGGAAGAGTGGCGATACTCACAGCTTTTACTGCAAAAAACCAAGTGGAGCTACTGCTTCAAGCTGGCATGCCTGCTCTGCCCTGTTCCATAACCCACCTGGGCAAGCAGGAGCAGCGTTTTAAGCCTGTGTGGTGCATTAGATGCTGCCTACTCCACATGCCAGGGAACATTATCGGAACATTCAGGTGCAGCTTTGTTTATTCTTCCCCCTGAAAGCAACATTGCCTCCTTCTCATAGCATCTACATGGCAAAGGACTAGCAAAACTATGCATAACATGTCTAGAATCAGCCACAGACCTCTCTCAGGGGCCAGATTTCCTTGGATCTGTTGGCTCTTAGATTCAATGAAAGAGTCAACAGGCAAAAGTACGCTATTTACATTCTGAACCTGGATATCAAAGGAAGGCCACTGTTAAGTATCACAAGGGGCCCACCATCCCTGTCTCACACCATATATTTTGGGCTAAGGGGTGTGTAGTATGGAATGTTTTTGGCGAAATGCTTCGAAGAATGAGAATAAACCCCTCTTGCGTGTAGTGGCCGCGTTGCCATTTTTCTGCAGGGAGTGCCCTGTGACAGGAAAGGAACAGACTGGTGAGTCCACTGACACTGTCCTTTTCATCTTCAGGATGGAGCGTGAGCCACTCTTTGGTCTCATTCGCGATGTAGAAGCCACTAAGCACTTTTGATACTGGACCTACCAAAAAAACAATAAGCAAATCATGGTGGATTTACAAAGGGCAGAGCTTACCAAAACCTGGTGGTTGCTGAATCTAGTTATTTCCTGACATAAATTCTTTCAGTCTATGATATAGGCTTATAAAGCTCAGAGCAGCAAGTGCGGGGGGGGGGGAGAGAGAGAGAGCTCCAACAGCATCATCAATGCTTGCTTACAATGCACATATGAGACCCTTTGATGCAGGATCCCAGCTTCAGATGCTTTGAAGCTGCTGAGGGCAGAGATCAAACACTAGGGTTTCTAACTGAAGGGGTGGAAGTGGGGTGAGATTGGTCCACTCTGAAGCTCAAAGTGGGCAGTGTTGGTTAAGAGGCCTAGCAAAGGGTGCAGCCCCTTTGCAGAAGCTGAACAGTGCGTGGCCAGTGTTTGGAAGGGAACCTTACGTATGGCGCCTGGGATCCTGTGGTGGAAAAAAGGTGGGATGTAAATGTAGTCAATAAATAAATGGGCATGAACTACTGAGCAAGCCCTGCTTAAATGTCTTGGCATTTACCATGCATGCGGCCTGCACCGCTTCTGAGATGGTGCCGGCATCTGGCTCACACCAAAAAGCTGTGCACTGGAAACGTTGTTGGCCCATGTCAGTAATGAGTGCGAAGGTGTGGGCGTCTTTCCCAATCCCAATAAAAGTCACATAGCGGACCTGACATTCCCACAGGCAAGAGCCGTCCTCGTCCTCAGCCTCAAGAAAGAACACAAAAAAGATTAGACTTAAGGATGCATCAAGCCCACCATTCTTCCTGCATTTCAGTTTTATCCTAGGTACTAATATTTATATGTCCTAGGCCAAATATTGAACCTGTGTACACATTCTAATAAACCTGATGCAGTGGCCTTGATATACAAATTTAATACATAATCATAGCATAGGCTTCCAACATTGTAAAGCATGCTAAATGAAAACAATAAGAAAAAAGGTGGATTTCAGTGTTATACTGCAGCTTGCCTGATGGAATGATCTCCCCTCTCCTCCCCCCACCCATGCACTGTTCTTGGAGTTCTTCTGACCCCTCAGAGCCAGTTGTGGGGGTGGGGTGGGGAGAGGAAATCCCTGTAGCACAAGCGGAAGTCCTTGAGCAGGTCTCTTGATTATCTTTCTGTAATCCTTACAGCAGTGAGATCCAGAGGGAACCACAAACTGTGGTTGGCTTTAGTAACCAGCCCAAAATATGTGGTCACTAAGATTCTGTCCCTCTCCTTCAGCCCAGCCCTTACGTTGTATTCATTGGGGCTTCCTCCTCCATAAATGTACATAGGATTGCAGCGTTAAGCCAGAGGGAAAGTAAAGCCAGGCAGTGTGTTGCAGAGGAATTTTGAGCACCATCTCTAGCCTTCCTTTGGAACTGGAAAGAAGGGAGGGGGTATTCCCCATAGTTGTGCAGCACCCCAGAGGCTCAGTGCAGCTCCAGGGGAAAATCCCAACCACTTTCACAATTTTACTAAAATAAAGTGGTACGTGCCAGGTGCTCAACCATTTGGCAGAAATTAGCAAAAGAAGGGGGGGTCTCGTAAGGCATTAGGAAACAGTGGGGAAATGCTGCTGCCCAGCGTGTATCACGGGCAACTCTTTAGTAATTTATTTGCTGTCTTCTGTACCAATTCAGTCCATCCAAAGAAAGGTCTTAACTATATATATATAACTAACTATATATATAAAACTATATATATAGTTATATATGCTTTCGTAGATTTTCACGGGTACAGGAATGCAGGTTTTGGTGTCCTCGGGTGTCTTCCCGTGTAAAAGTTGGGGTGTCTAGGCGACGTTTCGACGAGGTCTCACTCGTCATCTTCAGGCTGGTGCTTTCGGCTTCTTGTTACTGGAACAGAGCGGGATCTCAGTGTTTGAGTTCCTATAAATACTGTTGAGGAGGTGTGGTGTATAGCCTCCAATGTTCTGGGCAGAGAGGAAGTTCCCAGGCTAGTGTGCCTTTTCTTCTTTTGTTCCTTAATTACTTGAGGGATATCTTGAGTGATTTCTTGAGTGATATCCTGAGTACCACTTAGGTGGGTCATTAGGTGTGGATTAGTTGCTAAAGCCTTCGTGTCTTGACCTCTTGAACCACAGCTCGCCCCTATACACGAAGCCAAGCCAGAGCACAACTAAGTGCAGTACAGCCATCTTCTCAGAAAAACTCTTCACAAAGTTCAAGAGGTCAAGACACGAAGGCTTTAGCAACTAATCCACACCTAATGACCCACCTAAGTGGTACTCAGGATATCACTCAAGAAATCACTCAAGATATCCCTCAAGTAATTAAGGAACAAAAGAAGAAAAGGCACACTAGCCTGGGAACTTCCTCTCTGCCCAGAACATTGGAGGCTATACACCACACCTCCTCAACAGTATTTATAGGAACTCAAACACTGAGATCCCGCTCTGTTCCAGTAACAAGAAGCCGAAAGCACCAGCCTGAAGATGACGAGTGAGACCTCGTCGAAACGTCGCCTAGACACCCCAACTTTTACACGGGAAGACACCCGAGGACACCAAAACCTGCATAGTTATATATATATATATATATATATAACTAACTATATATATAAAAAAAGGATACAGGCTGCAGCAGTTTTCTACAATAGACTTTTCTGTCCCCCTGATGTTACCCTCCACTGCTTCCTTTCTTAATTCCTTCTCCACCCTTTGGCACTCTTGTTGGTGGGCAGTAGAAGGTTGATTTTTTTAAAAGACACGTGAAGGGGTGTGCAGAGTGAAGAATACTCAAGTGAACCAAGGAAGTCTCAATGGAGACCCCAGCAATGCCTCCTAATGATTGTGACTAAAATGTATACCTTAAGTGGCAGCATTATTCTGGTATTCTGCTTTGAGACTGTGCCTAACAATTAGAACTGCCACCAGCACATAATTCTTATAGACTGTTTTATTTTGTGAGAGCCTATGAACAGAATGTATCGGTATTTTCTCTGACTGCACCAATGTTTATTCAAACAAATTTCTTTTAGTTCTGCCTTCAGTTTCAGAAATATGTATTTCTGACTAAAACGGGTTTGTGCAGGCAGCAAATTTTTAAAAAAGATCAATAAAAGGAAAGATGTTTTGTAACTGTCTCAGCCTCATTCCACAGAAACTTGTGATTAGTTCTCATTGAAATCAATAGAACAAACCAGCTACAAGTCACTTTCTCTGGACTTGATTCAGAGTGTTACTGTGTTTGCCATCTTTCTCTGAAAACTGAAATCACTGGGAACAAAAAGGCTAATGAGGGGTTTGCATGCCCACTAGTGAACTATTTTCCAAATTTGTATTTAATAAATTAAATCAAACTATCCACATAATCCAGTCCCATTGATTTCAGTGGAAAAGATCAATGAAACTGTTCAACTCTTTGATTGAAATCAATTGGACTTGTATGATCCAGCCAAAACGAAGCACTTTAAGGTTCCATTGATTTTGGTGGGAGAATTAAGCAGTGGCATCAATCTCTTTCACTGAAATAAATGGGATCTGAAAGTGCTTAGCTTTGTCTAGATCAGTGTTTCCCAACCTTGTGCCTCCAGCTGTTTTTGGCCTACAATTCCCATCATCCCTTGCCACTGGTCTTGCTAGTCAGGGATGATGGGAGTTGTAGGCCAAAAACATCTGGAGGCACAAGGTTGGGAAACACTGGTCTAGATCACACGATTGCCATGGAAAATGGCTAGGTAAAGGTAAAGGTACCCCTGCCCGAAGGCCAGTCGTATCCGACTCTAGGGTTGTGCGCTCATCTCACTCTAGAGGCCGGGAGCCGGCGCCGTCCGAGGACACTTCCGGGTCACGTGGCCAGCGTGACGAAGCTGCTCTGGCAAGCCTGCACCAGCGCAGCACACGGAAGCGCCGTTTACCTTCCTGCTATAAAGCGGTACCTATTTATCTACTTGCACTTAAGGGTGCTTTCGAACTGCTAGGTGGGCAGGAGCTGGGACCGAACGATGGGAGCTCACCCCGCCGCAGGGATTCGAACCGCCGACCATACGATCGGCAAGTCCTAGGCGCTGAGGTTTTACCCACAGCGGCACCCACGTCCCTGGAAAATGGCTAGCGTACAGTAAAATACTGAGGCTGCACTCATAAACACAATGTTTGCTCTGCTGCCCTCCCTGCATTGGAGGAGAAACATCTGCAGGAGGAAGCTTGTGCTGCTCATGGAGGATCCCTACACCATCAAGCTGGTGATGATCAAATGCTTCCAGGACAGAGCAGGACAGAGTTTGGGGTCACACACATAACATAGATTGTGTAGCCTTGAACATCTGGAGAGAGCTCATAGATGAACTAGGGCATGGGAAATTAGGTATAAAATCATTGGATTTCTACTTGGCATATGTAGAGCTAAGATGTCCTGACTACATGTAGCAAACCCCTGATTATGGCATTCAGCGACTGGCTTTACACTAAAGTCCAACGGTCCTCTTGTCTTTCTGGTCTAGCTCCTTTTCCAGTCGCTCAGCCTCTGGGGCAGGCAGGATGCCAGATAGGATGGCTACTGTCAGTCACTTGGTAAGAGGAGAAAGCTGCCAGGGTGGCCAGTATCACAAGGAGCCTTACCTCAGCTTGGTCTGCTTGCATCACTGAGTCTGAAACACTGACAACAGATGGAGTCCACTGGTCACGGCCACGGCTGCCCACCAGGTCTTCGATGGCAGTATTTAGCACATCCATCCCTGAAGTGGTGAGGCAAGAAATAAATGGGTGATCCAAGGGAAAGTGAGAATGCTCATCAGCCAGAGAACAGGGTTCTCTCAAGACTTCCACCATAACTGGGGCACAGAGAAGGGACCCTTCTTCAGATTTTAAGGGTTGACAGACTTGGTAAAGGAGGAGGTACCCCATAAGCAATAACTTCAGCCACTGAAAACACCAGAGATAGGTAGCAGAATTCAAAGAGCACAGCTACTTACCCATGGCCTTGGACACTGGTGAGGTGCCAATATACAAAGCTTCATATTTCCGGACAGACTCTCCCACGGCATCCAGAATGTCAACTGCCCAAAGCAAAAGGAGGAATTCAACGTCACACTGAAACAAATGCTTCATCAGCACAAACATTTCTGTTTGCCTGATGGGACAACCTCTCCTCTTCCCAGACACAGTTCTGAGGGCTCTCTCAACCTTCTCCCAGCCAACTGGGGTGGGTGGGGAGTCCTATTAGCCAAATCCAGCACTTTATTTCAAGGAAGAAGCAGGGGTGCTTCTTTAGACCAAGGATGGGAATAATTACTTCAATTCTGTCAGAGCACGGAACTGATAAAGTGCTGACAGGTGCCCCAGAAAGGGACTCATGGGATTTGTAACTTTTGTTACCTTGTAGAGAGACGTCATCTGGAGTGAGAGGTTCAAAGGTAACAGATCGGCTGAGGCTGTTGCTTGCCACGGCTCGCTCAGCCATGATCTGTAATACAGAGAAAGGTCATGAAAAGTTGGGACCACCTGCTGGAACCTCCCACCTAAGCCTGAATAGTGGTGGTGGCAAAGCTCAGGGAGAAGACCCTCCTAGATGGTAACCCAGGAGAAAGTATAGAAAGAACATTTCCAGTCTACAATGACATGGCTAGAAGTTGCAATTCAAGTGGGAATCCCATTTGTTTTATGAATGTTTACTCAGCAGTAGGTACCCTTCATTCAGTAGGACTTACTGCCAAGTAAGCATGCACAGAATTGCCACTCTCCTTATAGCTGTGCCCCTCCACCAACAAGGACTGCTAGACTCCTAGAAATCTGACAAGATTCATTTAATACAGAGGTCCAATGAATGCATGGTTCAGAGGAATTTCTTCCAGCCCCCAGCCAACCAGGATGAAATGCCACCTGCCACCTCCTTGCAAAATGAGAGCAGCCTGGTGCAGGGGACTGGTGCTGCACTTCAGGGGTTGGGACACTCTTCCTTCCTCGTGTGTGCATGTGTGTATGTAGGGAAAGAACCATGCCAGAATCAGCAGGGATACCTTGGAGCACATTTCATGCAGGGCCTTGGCAATGGCCTTGGCAGGCACATTGCAGTGGAAGACGTGGCACTTCAGCATACACGTGTCCTTGTCACTGGCCACGAAAGCAAAATCCCTGCAAGGAGAGGAGAGCCCAGTAAGCAAGGGCAGGGCTCCAGGCACTGGTCCTTGCTGCAGAAGGAAGAAGGGGCCTTACCTGTCCCTTGGGTCAAGCACAGCATGTAGGGAAAGAGAGAAAAAAACTGGTTAATGCAGAACCCCTCAAGAAGCAACCCTCTTAATGGTCTGTGTGCTATCAGCTGTAATAGTTTCTGGCAAGAAGAGCAAAGGTTTCTTTGTAGTGAGCAGAAGGACCTCGTGGCAAGGCGAGGACAGCAAGATGGACACACAGAGAGAGAGAGACCACCATTTCAAGATTCTCCCTCCTACGGGGCCTGTGGCTCATTTTGGTGCAATGCTAAAAGACTGAGGAGTCGTCCTTCATATTAATTTCCAGCAGCAGAAAATGCCCTCTCCTCTCCACCCCCAGAGCAAAGGTTCCCTCACCTGCCATTGTTGCATCCGACACCCCAGACACGGATGTTGATGATGGGTTGGGAGTGGATGAGGCTCTGGTCCAAAGGATCCACTAAACTCATTGTGTCCTTCTTCAGGATCATCACCATGTTTTGGCCCTGTAAAGGGAAGACTAGAGGACTGTGACTGAGATACAGTGCAGGGGTAGGAAAAAACGTCCACTTGCCTCTTGCAACTAGAGTGATAATGTTGTCCCTTTCCTAGGGAAAACAGGGACTGGCATGTTTATCCACCCAGCAGTGCATAAGAACACCTGTATGTAATGCCATGGACTGAATGGGTGCATTTTTGGCAAATATGTACAAGGAAGAGGAATGGGGACACCCAGCAGCTCATGCCTAGGTCCCTACCAAAGGTGGAAAGGATGCAAAGCAGTGCCTAGACCCAGGAAATCAATTGCTCCATTGAAGGGTGACAACTTGAATAAAATATGGAGGGGGCAGAAAGAGGTGGAGCTAGTTGCTTCAGTGCCCAGAGTGGCACACATGCTGTGCACCTGGGGGCGGAGCTAGCCGCAGGAGCGGGGCAGGCGTCCCAGGGGGGCGGGGCAGTGATGTCAACCCCCCCATGGATGACACCCGGGGCGGACCGCACCTACCACACCCCCTTCCTCTGCCAGTGGGGGCAGGTACACCCCGTCTCACATAATTGATCACAAGATATGGTACCAGCACACCATTGGATTGGCAATGCCCGTCCACATCGGAGTTGCCCCCTATGGCTGCATTCAGCACAAGGGCTGCTGGAAGTCTACGTGGGAGAACACATTTGAGTAGATCTCTCCCTGGGCCTCCTGTACTCACCTCGCCCCACCTGTCCGCAGGGTCCCAGTCGTCACACTTGTTCTGGGAGAGCTGCTGGATGCAGTTATTCACGGCAATGCTGCTTTTACCAGGGGCCAAGTCCTCCTCAGGGATTTCTACCCAGCCCAACGAACGCACAACGAAGCACTGGCAAGAGAGGGGCGGAGGGGTCACCATAAGGCGTGTCGCCAGCCTTCCTAGCTCACCATTGGCTATGCAGCCCAGGCCATTGGCAGCTTTTTGTGAACTTTTCAGCTCATGTGAACTGGAGCAGCCCCTCCCTCCCTGACTGTACCTCAAATCTAGCCATCATGAACACTTCTGGAGAGCATCAACTGATACCATCACTGCCAAATTCATTGTGCCCTTCTTTACCACATTGTATGTCACAAAGGAGTCCTCGTGCCTGTCCTTATTCGTAGGATGTCCCACCAGATTAGGGATGGGGAACTTTTTTCAGCCTGAGGGCTGCAATCTTTTGGAGGGGGGCATGGCTCACATGCCAGAGGCAAAAGTGGGTGGAGCAAGAGGGACTGGACTAGATGACCCTTGGGGTCCCTTCCAACTCTACAATTCTATTATTCTAAGAAATGTGGTTTTCACCTTTGCACAATAGATGAGTTCCTACTCACGCCCCTCTCTGCCCTCCACCTAGACAATCAGTAAGCATTATCAGTGTTCAATGACACATCCCAGGCAGGCAGAAACATTCAAGAAGGGTGCAGGGCCAGTGAGGGTCTGGGGGAAGAGGCCTGGAGGGTCACACTCAGCCCCTGGGCCTCTGAGGTTTGCACCCACTCCTTGTGCTGCATGGAGAAAGACTAGAGGTATAGAAAGTGAGGCTTTCCTAGCTTCTTTTCCCTCATCAAATTGTAGCTTGTTAAGGATTCATAGCTCAGACTGGTGTGTCAGTGAACTAGTCTTTAATTGCCTTACTCCAAATCTCTAATTATTTACCCATCTAGGAAAAACACTTCCCCTCATTTCCATACTTCCCAAGTGCCCCAGGACATCCTGTTTCTTTACGGGAGATCATGGTGACCATTTTGGATGCTGCACTCTTGCACTGTGCTCTTGCCCTGAACAAAAATCACTTTTTTAGGGCCATGCAGCACCCAGGAGCGCATCCCAGAAGACGCGAATCCTGGCTTTGGCTCCAAAAAAGTTGGATGGCACGCCTTCAGGTGAGAGAAGGAAACAGCAAACCAGATCTGTGTAATTGTATGTGAACTCTCAAAATGAAAGAAATCACAGGTGATGCCGCAGGGAGATGCTGTCAAGGATAAACCTACCTAAAAGGGTATGGGTGGGAAAGGCCATTATCTCCTGCCCACATCAGAGACAAGTTCTTCTGCAGATAATATCTGACTGGAAGTGCTAGAAGTTCCGAATCCTGAAAATTTGCTTTTAGAAAGTCCTTCCCTCTCCCCCTTTCTAAAGCGTTCTTTAATTACTATTTTGCTATAAATTGGACTTGCAGCGCTGTGTGATTTAAGAGCTGTTTAATTCTGATTAGGTATTAGGTAACTCTGGATTGAATAACTTATTCTTCAGAGGCAGGGTACTTCATACATGTTTATAGTAATCTGACAACAGGGATGTGTGGCACAGTTAGTCATCTGTCTTCACCAAGCACAGCACACAAGGCAGTTCACAATTAAAATTACAACTTATCCTACTACAGTAAAACAATAGATTCCAAAATACTTGGGCTGTGTTTAAGTTCTGGGGAAGGAGCTTGTAATTTTAAAAAATAATTTTAAGAGAGGTATCATTCAGTTTTTAAAAAAACACATAGGTTACCCAGTTAAAAATAGTTCAGTTACTTGATAAACTATTTTATCAAGGAAAGGGGCCACAGGGTTCAAGGATAGTTGAGGGAACATCACAAAGGACATGGATAAGACCACTCAACATGCCTAGATTACTCATTTATACCATCTAGCCAATCTTTCACATGAATGAAAGGGTAGTTAAAACATATTGAGTGATACTGGGAACGCACTGTAAAATGCCAAGGGAATATTCAAAGCAGTTGCTATGATTTTCAGAGCAGTACCAGAAGGTGACACATGCCAGCTTCTCCAAAATAAGAGAGAGACTCTCAGGTTCCAATGAAGAGCCTGATATATTGTGTTGTGAACTGCCCTAAGATATATGGGTATCGGGCAGTATACAAATTTAATAAACAAACAAACAAAGCTCACAGAGGGGTAAATTTTCTGCAGCAGCCTCCAAGGAAGGGCCTTACCTATGCTGAATCTGGACCCCTTGCCTCAAAGGAAGGGGCTTCCTCAATCAGCCAGGTTTCTGAGCTATGTACCCCCTGTGTCCCCCACCTCACCTGACTGTACCTTGGAGCCAAGCTCTGGGTTGCCCTGGTGATGCTCCTCCCCATGCCAGCTCACTGATGTCCTGTAACAGGTAGACAAGCATAGCAGTGACATGGAGGTTCTCAGTCATGGCATAACTCTAGCGAGCGTCTGTTCATCCCCAGAGTGGCAGCTGTGGATCTCATCGTTCTCTCAACTCTCCAACACATCATTAAGTTTAATTCACTTACATTAAGTTTAATTCAATGGTATCAGCCTCCATTGGTCCTAACCAAAGGGCTTGTCAGCTCTAACCCTATTGATGTGATTTGCAGGGACTAGGCACCTCCAGCCTGTACTTTGCAATCCCAGTCCTTTCCCATTTTGGTGGAGCCATCTGAGTAGGATGGAGATTGGAGCAGAGGATCAGTATTTCTTTATGACTCAAAAGTTAGACCAAAGACTTGTGGGATGGAAACAAACCTGCTTGCTTCTGCATCTGCACAGAGCTGGGTTACCTGTGAGGTCACCAGAAGAGACCATGAACAGGCCCTGGAGCCCTCTTTCACTTTTACTCAGACTCGATGTGCCCTAGTGTTTGGATGAAGTGCCCCTGCCCCCAGGAGACAACCCTACCTTCTGGGCAGCGATGCCATCGGACTTGGGATAGGTCTCTCCCCTGGCAGACGTCTTAATGTTGCAACCTGAAGATCCTGAATGAGGACAGAAAAGAAGGTTGTGAAAGTGAAGAGAATGTGGCACCATTGTTGTTTTATTAACATTGAGGCTCAGCTAAGCAGCTAAAGTGTGTATGTAGAAATTCAGTCTATGGTTGCAAGCAGTTGAGCCATGAAACATTTGTGATGATTTTTTTATATAAAAAAGAAAGTAAAATCCCGGGAGGAGGGGGAGAGGGAATTGGCCAGCTTAAGCCACTATAGTACTCTGGCGGGATGTATACCTTGATATTAAAAAGCTCTTATCCCCACACTTCTAATGAAGTACTGAGTCCTTTAGCACTATTTAGACAGCACAGGAACATTTCAGAAAGGTGGGGGGGGGGGAAACATGTCATCTGCAAGCCCCAAGCAGCACTACAAGGACTTCTGTTTTGGGCTGGCTGGAGCTGTGAAGAAGAGAACTTCTGAAAGGAGCTGAGGACATATTTTGTTGTACTCTCCATTTGTTTTCTTCTAAAAAAGCAAATTCTATCATGATTTTCAAAACAGATGCATTGAGCCAAGTCCTAATGGAAAGCAGTTTGGTACCCCAATAGACAATGTTACTTTACTGCATGAATAAAAAAAGATCATTATGGCAAATCAATAGATTTTAGCATTGATTACATCTATTTTATCCTAGGCATTCACAGTACCTTACTGGATAGCTTCTGCTGACTAATGCAACAGTCCTAAACATACCTGGAAGACCCACTGAAATCAATCCAAGTAAACGAATTTAGGCTTTTTAAGACATTGCATTTTACAGCAGAAGCGCCACGGAAAATGTAGCTGTAATCTCCCTCTCTCCACAGCTGTTCACCCAGTCAAGTGACTCAGTTGACCCCACCAGTTCATGCCCTCTGGATGTTATCAGTCTTTGGGGTCAGCTTTGAAAGCCAGAAGTCCCTGTTGCCCAGTAAGAACAAGAAGATCATGCAGAAGCATGCAAACCTACAAATGGTGCCAGGTGGGACTGACAGTCCACAGTTACTACTCTGTTAAATTTTACCACACAAGGCTCTGTATATGTGTCACCACAAGACACAGGCGAGTGCATTTATGGGTATATGTAAAGAAAAACAGCAGCCCTAGAGAGAACAAGGGTTGGGCTGCTGGCATTACTTTTCACATGGGTCCCGTCAATCATACACAAAAAGGCTTTGGAATCCTGATACCGTTTCTGGCAATGCCGCTTCCCCAGTGTGCGCTAAACCAGAGGGGCAAGATGGGTGTTGCCACTGGGTGGTGCCCGTGGGCACATGCCAGTAGTAGGTCCCAGAGGAGTCGTGGATTTTCCTCCATCCTGGGGGAAGATCAAGATCTGCCTCCAGATTCTGGTCGTTCCATAGGTTGTCTAAAGAGAGAAAAGACTTCAGATGAGGAAAAGGGCAAGTGTCATTTCAAAGGATGGTGACAACAGCTTCTACAGAAAGGTAGAAAAGGGATACATCAAAATGCCACTCTCTCTAATTTAAGACACATCATTTCTGAATATTCCAGCTGAAAAATCTAATGTGGAATAACAACAGAGGACAGGTGCATGAAGGATATACATTTACATGTTTCCATCTATTCTTACAAACCACAGAATATTTCTGAGCCCCTTGTCCAGTCCTTGCTGGGCAGTCCAGTGGAAAATTTCAGCCAGTATTTACTCCTATATTTGCAAGGGTTAAACTTAAAGCCTTCTTCTCCCTAGCTGGTTAATAAAGAGTTAACAAAAGTCAAGGATGTAGTAACATTACACAGTGGGGTGTTCAGTATTGAACAGAAGACTCAACACTGTAAAGATGTGAAATCAATAGCCACAACCCCCACGGCCATTACACAGATACCAGAAGCAGAGCACATAGTAAAACTATGGAATTTGTTCCCAGAAACAGTGGTGATGGCCACCAACTTGGACGGCTTTTTAAAAGGGATCTGACAAATGCATGCAGGATAAAGCTATCAGTGGCTACTAATCATGATGGCTGTGCACAATCTTCAGTATCAGAAGCAGTATGCAAAATTTCTGGAAATCCTAAAAAGCACGGTTTTAATGAGGAGTGAGATGGAGCCCAGTTTCCCTCCCTCTCTACTTTCCTGGAGAATGAATGTACAGACACCAGAATGTGAAACCTGCTGTTTCCCTGCAGGACTTCCAGGAGCAGAGCTATGACCGTAACTGTATCTGCCCCAGCGCACACAGCTAAAAATACCCAAAGGTCAGTGTGCCCCTTCTGGTTTATTATCCTGTTGATTCTCCCAGTATGGAGGGGACAGAAGGTGAATAATCCATCACTTGCCATTCAATTACATACTGCAGGCCCTGCTGTCTCTTGCCTGCCAAGCTGCATTCTATTTAATCAGGTCTCGCCATCCTTTAGAGTGACTCAACCAGCTGCCAGAAGTAGCAGCACAGAGGTTGACACTTCCCGCCTGCAGAGATCAGAGCAGAGAAGCACCAACCAAACTGCTTTCTGACATTCACACATTTCCTGACTGCCAGTTGTCTCCCAGGAAACAGCACCCAAGAGCCTGACCTGCACCAGCAAAGGCTGCGCTGATGGACAGCCATGACGCACAGACCATCTGAAATTATTCTCCAGAGCAGCCTTCTTCAGGTAGCAAGCCGTTTACACGCAGCATTGCACCTTGCAGGCTGGGCTATTTTCTCCCTGCCACACAAAGCTATTTCTGTGCCAAACTTTGTGGCAAGATGCTAGATGTGAGCAGACGGATACGCTGAGGCTGTTGCTATAGGGAATAAGATAAAACAGCCTCCAAGTAGCAGTTGATTTGGGTGCCTCTGGCTGGACTGAATGTGGCTGACTGTTCGCACCATTCTGGAAAGGGTAGCCAGAGCAAAATGCAGACACACCTAGTGACTAATCAGTATGCACAAGCACAGCAAGAACTTAACTGTTAGAGTCAATAGACAAATTCTCCTGACTGCCACTGGATTCATCAAACTGGCTCCCAATTCACTAGTTGAAAATGAAAAGTAAAGCTTGCTGACCACCTTAATGATGCCCCCATTCAGGCAATTTCCTGAACTTGTGCGGGCTCAAAGTGGGGACAAGAAGGGCTGCACATGAAAGTCCCAGCCACTTGCATTCGGTTGAATGTGCTTAGAGACCTTATCACTGTCAGGATCCCTGTCTTATCAGGGTTTTTCTTCACCATGAGGATTTGAAGCATGTTCCCATGAATGCACTTAGAAACCCTGTGCAGATGTCTAAAAGGAAGTCTGTGTGCCCAGGGGCTGTTAGAATGGGGCTTAAGCATGCTCATCTCTGCCCATACCCACTTTGAGGCTACAAGTGTTCAGGTGAACACACAAACAGGTCTTATGTGTATTCTCACCTGGGGAAGCAGACTTAAATCCAAACCATAGCAAAATTGTTGGTCTTTCAGTTTTGTATTTTTTCTATAACAGACTGTGTCTCTAAAAGTTTTTCTGAAAATCCTGGAAATTGATAGTGGATCTGGCAAGTTTTCCTGAAAAATAATGCTCCAATTTTCCATTTCCTCCAAATAGTGCCCTGCCCTGAAATTCATACTCAGCATAGCTCAGGCAGTGAGCTGACATCTTAATTCAACCAAAGCTGAGTTCTAGTTTTAATCATTTACCTCTGCCATCTGCTCTTGTTTTCAGAAGTAGCCACTTTGGAAAAATTGGTGATATCCATATTTTGCAAAGAGAAATGGAGTGTGGGAGGCAAGTTTCTCTGTTCACCAACCTGGAATGGGAGTTAGTCCAACAGCTAATTTTGCTGTAAAACCACCTGCATAAAGGAATGCGGTGGGAATGAAGCCCCAACCCTCCACTGTCCAACTCAGCCTATTTGTATCCAAATGTCACAAGTGGCACTCCATCCTTTTCCCACTTTCATCATCTAGCATCACAAGTGAGTCAGATTTGGCAAAGAAACTGTCAGCTGCTGACTTCCAAATGCAAGGACATAACAAAGGATTAGCATCTAACCAAGTCCACCACTAACTTGCCCTCTGTAGAGAAGCAGTTGGTCAGTAATGGTGCAATCTGAAGATCAGCAAGAATAAAAAGGAGAGATCACTGAAGAATAATACACGTTTTTCAAGGCAGCATTATTCTTTAAGAAGCAAAACAATAAACAAACATCAGTGAGGTAGCCGTAGGCTTAATTTTCTCTGTTGTGGGGTTTGGGAACTGGAATGGAGAGGCTATTCATACTAAACAGCAAGTTAATAAGAAAGATGATGTAGATTGGCAGGGTAGGGGAGAGATTTACAGGTTCTTTCCCATAGCCCTCTATGTGCATAGGCCTACACACCAGGCTGTGTGTTGACTTGCCCAAAATTACACGAAAGAAATAGTCCCTAATTCTGTGTGCACTCCAACTATTAGGATATGACAGCAACTAGGAACACTCAACACTACCCAGACTTAGAGCTTCTAATAACAGCTTTCATTAAATCACAGCATTCACCTCAAGGCCCCTTCATAATCAAAGTGTGTTGACTGAGTTATGAGACGTGAAAGAGGACAGAACACCTACACCTTGGATAGTTATGCAGAAATGGGACTTGGAGCAGGCATAGCTTGTCACATATGCTGCACCTTCTAAAACTCCCACTTCTACACAACTATTAAAGAACACTGTCTGCTTTTACATCTGGCCACGCTAATTGCCAAATGGTCAGTGGGAAAAGGGTTAAGCATATCCTCCCTATCACTTCAGCTCTGAGCAAATTCATACTGCAATAGAGTAAGAAGAAAAGAAGTTAGATAATTTGTGCATCTCACCATAGTATTTTGTTTGATAGGCTTTTGTATGGTGGCTTCTTATAAGATCTGTGCTGCTAAGGACCCTTTGTACAGTAGAATTGCCTCTTCTACTGTCCCTTTACTAAAATGGTTGCACAGGGGGGGAAATAACATCTTAACCTTCCTCCTCCCTACCTTGGCAAACCAATAAATTGTTACGCTTGTGCCAAGCTCTGAGAATTTAATCAAGGAAATGCAGCTTTCACAGATGGGATTGATTTGGCTAGAACAGTGATGTCCACAACTCAGCGCAGCCCGTTCCTCCCAATTTTCAGGCCTTGGGGATGGAATATTTGGGATGAGGGATGGTAGTAACTTTCCTTCATTTTTATTTGCAAAGAAATGGAAGCATTTCCCCTCTTGGAAAAAGGCAGCAGATGGGCTCAAAAAAGCTGGGAAATTGTGTGGGAGTGATTTTCTTAGCAAGTACCGTACTTTAGCAAAATCCTGCTCTTTGCAAATCTTACAGGGTTCAGAGCAAAATTTTGGCTTTGAGAGTGAATCTTGAGAATCTCCAAATAACATAGCTCTTCTCAAACAGACCCAGCTACATTTTAAGTGGCAATTGGCAGGTGGTAACCAAGGAGAGGGGGTGGTGCCATGCCTATTAAATGCTCTCGACACAGAGGTACACTGGCACCAAGTTTCTTGTCTTGCCAGCACCAGGCAAATATGCTTGCATTTGCCCAGGTTTGGAATGTCAATATGGCATCTATGGATGCAATGGCAGTTATGAGGACCTCCCCTGGCACATGTAAGACCTATGTGTGCCCCCTCTCTGTGCTCACTACCGCTTTTATTATGAGTACATACAGCTGGAGGAGGTGGTGGGAAGAGCAAAATGCAAAGCTCTGTGTGCTTTTTAAGGCTCAGGCTCACAACAAAATGACCAAGAGGTAAGAAAGAAAGTGGTTATCAGAGAGGAAGGAGAATGATCTGGGTGACTGAGAGAAGGAAAACATTGTAATGAAGGGGAAGGTGAGGCGATAGTAGGATGCCACATGAATCCAGGTGGAAGAAAGACCTGGAGAAAGAGACACAGACAGACAGACAGACAGACAGACAGAATGGAGGGGCAGAGACAGGAGAAACATGCACACATGTACACCCATGTCAGACCAGGGAACACCCATCCTCTTGACACTTCAGGTTTTTTCACAGGCTTACCAGCAGCACCACATCACAGATCACATCTGTTCCTATTGACTGAACCATAGATCAGAGGCATAGATCCCTATGGGTCCTCATCCTTTTTCAAAAGGGAACTCCTCAAAACCACCATCAAACCATAGTTCACCCCTGTATCCACATATATATTTGTTGATTTGTTGGTTTTTTGTCACTCTCTGCAAAACTCATGAAGATCCATGCCTAGATAAATGTTTTTTGTGATGCTGGCAAGCACTGGATCTGTTATTTTTACTATGTAGTATACCACAATGAACTTTATCTTGGTGGTTTATTTTAGAGAACACTATGTAAAACTATTGAAATTGAAGCGGATCTGTTGTTTATTTTATCTTAAACTTTCATTGTAAGAAACAAATAAAACATCAAAATAACCATGTTGATATATTAGAGGTCCTGTAGCATAGACTGCACAGGTTTGGTTAGTGATATTACACCCAAGTGTATGGCTTCCTACCCTTAAAGCATGCAGGCAACTTCATAACTACATTTCTCCCCACCCCCTTTTTGACAAGGAGCCTCCCTCATGGCCCCAGAGCTGCTGGGCCATGACAGCAGCACTGGAGGGGGGGAGGGAGGGAGGGAGGGAGGGAGGCAGCCAGCCAGCCAGCCAGCCAAGGCTGGTGAGGGCCCAGGTCAGCAAGCTGATGTTTGATGTGGTATAAGGGGTGAGTAGATGATGAGATAGGCTTTCATGAGTAAGGAGAGGGAGAGGGGTGGCTTTGGTAAGGCATAAAGGGAGAGTATTGGTGGCTTTGGTGAGGGGTAAAGGGAGATAATGAGTGGATTTGGGGGGGTAGCAGGGTTGGTGAGTGAAACAAGGAAGAACATAAGAAGGCCCTACTAGGTCAGGACAATGGGTTATCTAGTCCGGCATCATGTTCTCACAGTGGCCAAGTGGATGCCTGTGGTGCAGAACTTGCTAGGGTTCCCTGGAGACTTTCTTGCAGTTCAGAGTGCCCGAAGTAAGAGCTCTCCTGTCAATATGAGAGCAACGGGGAGTGAAATTCAGACGGTGGTCATCCCTGGACTATTAGATTGAGTTCCTAAGCGTATCTCGTGGGAATGAATTCCACTGAACTTGAAAGGACGTGCTTCCATACAGCTGTATTTAGACCGGGTTGTTGTTGGCTCTGTAGAACCCTCTGTCGATGCCAGTCATCGCAGGCTTGCCTTTCTATTCTGCACACTGTAAGAAACTGGTGAAATATGGTACAATTTATCCTCTGCGTGTGTGTTGTACTCCTAATCCTGTGAAGTTGGGGAACTCCAGGGGGATTTCAGAACTCGAGCCGACTTTCCCTAGGGTACAGCGGGCTTCTCCTTTCAGCACTATGGAAAGCTCCCCAATGCAAAGCTAGAGAGCGGGACAACAGGCGGCGCTTAGCCTCTGCCCCACGGCGTCGAGAAAAGCACTTGCAGACGTCTCGGGCGAAGTGCAAGGGGTCGCCATAACCCTTTCCCCGACAGCAAGTTTCCCACTCCCTCCTTTTCTCCCCAAGCGACAAACAGCCCGAGTGGTTTGGAGTACATAGCGGGGACCTGGGGAGGGGGCGCGCACCCTCGCTGCTTCAGCCGAGCCACCCAACTCCCCGGGAGCAGAACTTGGACGAAGAGCCCGAAGTCCCAAGCCGGCCGGTGAGCGGGGCGGGAACACGAGGCAATGCTCCCCGCACGGGGCTGGGGGGGAGTCCGGACGCCCCTTCCAAAACAGCCGCGCAGGCGAAGGGAAGAGGCGCGCGCCCGCGCGATCCCGCCCGCCTCCGTCCTGGAGACGCCCGCCTGGCTCTTCCGCGGCCCCCGCTCTCCGGAGGGGGCTCCCCTTTGGCTGCGCCCCCAGCACCCCTGGGTGGGCGCCGCGACCATCTTCCCCCACCCCTTGCTCTTACCGTCGCAGTTGACCAGGATGATGGCCAGCATATAGTCCTTGCCGAGCATGGCTTCGCTCGGTCGGGCGGCGAGCAGCCCCGAGCGCGGAGGACGACGGCGGCGGCAGCAGCAGCAGCAGCAGCAGCAGGAGCGCTGTGCCAGAGGCCGGCCCCAGAATGCGGGGCGGGCGGAGCGAAGATCCGGGAGGAGAGAGATGCTGACGAGGGAGGGCGATCCAAAGCCGTGACGCAAGAGGCCCACGGGCTCCAGTGGGACTTGGCCTCCCCAATTGAGCGTGCACAGAATGGCAGCCCAAGGTGGGAGGAAGTGTCTGCTGATCTTACTTCCGAGTAAACAGGCTGGGGGGGGGGGAAGAGCCTTCCTGGATCAGGCCAAGGACCCACCTCGTCCAACATCCTGCTCTCAGACTGGTGGACCACATGCCCCCGATAAGCCCACCAAAAGGACCAGAGCTTTCCACACCTGCGATTCCCAGCAACTGGTATTCTGAGGCACACTGCCTCAAGCATTGGAGCCAGAACACAGCCACAAACACTCCATACATTTCTCCAGCCCTCTTTTAACCCAATCCAAGTGGGTGGCCATTACAGCCTCTTGAGGTAGCTAATTATTTAGCCTGCTCTGAATGTTCCAACATTTAGCTTAATTGGAGAACCCCACTGTTCTAGCATTATGAGAGAAACTCCTTTCGCACTTCCTTTACACCTTGCATAATCTTATACCCCTCTTAACACGTTCCCCTTATTACACATAAACGAAACAGCCCAAAATATTGTAACCTGCTCTAACCCCTTGATTATTTTGCTTGCCTTTTCTGCCTCCTTTCCAGCTCCACAATGTCCTCTTTGCAGTGAGGTGGCCAGAAGTGCGCACAGTACTGTATTACAGTACAAGTGTAGTCTCACATCATGTATAATGACACTTTGTATAATGACATTATGATACCGGTAGTCTTATTTTCAATCGCTTTCCCAACGACTCCTATCATGGAATTCACCCTTTTCACAGTTGTCACACACTGGGTCAACATCTTCATCCAGCTATCCACTATGATGCTTCTTCTGTGCCTTGAAACACAGCCACCCTCTGTGGGTTGGGCAACCAAGTCAGAACTTGGGAGGGACACCAGAAGCTGCAGCTCAGCTCCACATTGTCTACTACACTGACTGGCAGTGGCTCTGGGGTTTTTTGGACATGGGTCTTTTCCAGTCCTGCCTGGAGATGCTAGTAGTTGAAAGAGATGGAGGGGATTCCAATGGTCTAGTCCAACCCCTTGCAATGCATGAATCTAAAGTATAAATGACAGATGACCATCCAAGCCCTGCCTAAAAAACTCCAAGGAAGGAGAGTCCACCACCTTCCGAGGAAGTCCGTTCCATTTCATGCAACCAATCAAAGTAATGGGCTGTAATCCATCAAAGTGTAAACCTTAATAAATTTGTCGACTTTAAGGTGCCACAAAGCACTTCGTTGCTATTTTTTTGCCCCAAGAGACTAACCCAACTACCCCTCTGGTTGACTGACACTCATCTGTCTTGGGAGACAATGGAAGTGTGTGCCTTTTGTGCTGTAGTCAAACCTTTGGAAAATTACAGTGTGTGCTGTGGCTGTAGAGACCGAAACCTGACATGTTTTGTTGCAGTTGGGGCAAATGAAGGTGTCCAGTTGTGGTGATCCTTGGGGATCCTGCCATTTTACATTCTAGGAACATAACCAAGCCAGTGTGGATGTCACTGAGACAGGAGTGCGAACATTCTGGGAATACGGGCTTGGGAGAATACATATTTATCTGTCCTGCCATGTGAATCCCAAAATCTGCCTGACACAGGCTTTGAGGAGTCTCTCCTGGAGGGTGCAAGTTGCCCACATCTCACTTCCATAAAGCAACGTGCTCAAAACACAAGCCTGAAAAACACAAGCCTGGTAGACCTTCCTCTTGGTATCGGTCAATATCATCACATTCTCCCATACTCTTTTGGAGAGGCGAGCCATAGCCATAGTTGCCTTGCCAATATGCTTGAAATTGTATAGCTTAAGTCATGGTCCTGGCTGGTAGCCAGATTCTGCACCCAGATTTGTAGGCACAGGTCATCCTCTAAAATAAAATAGCTTACTAGGGAAATGCTGAAGTCGCCCTTTGGGGCGCCTCAGGGTCCATTTTTTATGGTAGCCCAAATCTCAGTTGTACGGGTGTATGTATATATCTCAATTTTAACTCATGAGCTAATGCCGCAATCTGCTCCGATTGTATATTTTATCTTTATGAACGCTGTTTTTATTGTGTTATGTTACGTGAGCTCATGATCAATCCTTTAGTCTCTGTGGTGCCACAAGACTGGTCATTTCGTGGTTTGTTTGCATGTCTGTGTGTTATGCTGTGGCAGCAATAGCTCTTCCAGCTACGATGCAACTGCGCTAGGCTGCTACCTGATGTTTAGTTTCCTATTTATTTACTGATTTGTTTATTTTTTTCAACCGCAAGCCCCGCATCCCCCTCAGTCACGGAGGCAGCAGCTCAGACCGTGTGAGAGGAGGACAAGGGCGCCTGGCAGCGGCAGCGCGGCGCCATCAGGTCCCTGGGACCTTTAAGGGGTCGCGACAACCAAGATGGCGGCTCCCGCTGCCGCTTCGTCCCGCGCCTATTTCTGAGCCAAAAGACAAAACTTCACGAGCGCCCCGCTCTCGGCGAGGGCGACGCAAAAGTGACGTCAGGAGCACGTGCCGAGGCTGCGGCAGGAGAACGCCGTCGGTAGGCAGCTAAACTGAATCCATAGACACAAGAATCTGTAGAGTAAACCCCCTCGATGGCTGGATAGGGATCTTCCGGATCAGCCTTGGGAAGCCGCAGAAATCGAAGGCTTCGGGCGAAGCAGCGATTGGCCAGGCGCGAGCGCAGCAGTTCTTCTTCTTCTTCTTCTTCTTACTTAGACGTTGCTTCATGTGGAAATGGTTGTTATTATGACTTCTTAAATTTGTATACCGCTCTGCCTCCGAAGAGCCGGTTCGCAACAGGGGGAGAGCGAGAATGCAAAATTCATAACAAAACAAACACATATAAAAAGCCATGGAATGTGAACCTGGCTGAGGAGAAGCGCTTCCGCCTGGCGGCAATGGAGGCGCCGGGCGACACGTGTAACGTGTAACGTGTGAATCCCCGCCCCCAGCCTCTCTTCCTTTCCCTTGAGTCCCGCCTAGCAGGGGGCTGGACTAAGGGACCTTTCCTCCTCACGGACCCTTCCTCCTCTACCTTTCTACTGGGGGCGGGGGGGCAGCCCTCAGAGCCCCCCTGGCAGGGGCTCCTTGGCGAGAGGAGCCGCGGGAAGCGGAGAAGGCCGGTCCGGAAAGAAGGGCGGCGCCGGCGGAGGGCGGAGCCGCGAGGAAGATGGCGGACGACAAGGTACCGGCCTCGTCCTCTCGGGGTGGCGGGAGGAAGGCGCTCGCGGCCTCCTCGGCTTCTCGCGTGTGGCGGGGCCTGCAAGGGGGGGGGCGAGGGGGAAGCTTTGCGGCCCCGTTTACTCGGGAGTCGTCGTGCCGGAGGGGAAGCGGGGCAGCTTCGGGGCGGAAGCCGGAGCGTGACTCTCCTTAGGATGCGGCCTCTTTCAGGAAGCCCTGCTAGCTCCCCTTTTGCCAGCTGGGCATAAGCTGGATGCTCTTCTTTAACACCCGCACTCTTAGCTTCTGCTTACCCGTATTTTCCTGATATTTTGGGGGGGGGGTTGTTGTAGCTTTCTTGATGATCTTTGGCTTTTTTGTGTGTAAACGGCCTCTTTGGAACTTTCTTGCTTTTTTAAACTGCCTCTTACGTGCTAAGGTAGGACAGAGACGTATCAAGTGAGGGAAAACGAAAACACGAAACTGGTTGTGTGAACATGGGCACTTGCTTGTATAAGACGGAACTTGAAGTGGGTTCTGTCGGGAGGAAGGGTGGAGTATAAATGGAATGAATAAATAAAATAAATAAATGTTGACATTTTCAGTTTTGGGAAGGAACTAAAATAACTTACCCCCCCCCCAAAAAAAAATTATTTTTTTTATCCAGAAAATTCTAGCTGTATAAAACTGAAATCGAAATGCATGTATTTTGTTAACCTATCCGGACTAAAATAGTGAGCTATCCATATGCAGCCTATAATTGCTCATGGCAGCAAAGTATAAAAAGACTAGACAGATGATTTTTTTTATTGATTTATAACACAAGTTAATATTTGAAAATTAATCCACTGATCAAGTCCATTTCCCACACCCAAAACAGCATCATACTAAATTGCTTTATACTATTGTATAGAACTCATTGTGGATAGAAGCACCTGGGATAGAAGTTGGAGAGTATAAACTACCTAAAGTGCCCCCTCTGATGTGGTGGCAGTGATAGCCAGAAACAGAATACTGGTCTTGTATTAGACATCCCATTAGAATTTCTAGACTGTGCCTTTCCTCTTAGCTATTTGCTTTCTATAACAAAGATACTAAAATGCATGTGTGCATGCAGTTTGGAATATGTCATTTATGTTTCCAATGTATAGGACTCTCTGCCAAAGCTGAAAGATCTTGCTTTTTTGAAGGATCAATTGGAAAGTTTGAAACGAAGAGTCGAAAATGAGGTACAGGCTGGAGTAGGACAGGTAAAAGTGGGACTGTTTAATACTGATTTCTCCAAGTCTGTTGTCACCGTATTTGTCTCTCAAATGTCATTAATAATGTGCTTGATATGTCTGGCCCAGTAACTCAGGCATAGGCAAACTCTAGCTCTCCATAGGTTTGGGGCTACAATTTCCATCATCGCTAGCTAACAGGACCAATGATCAGGGATGATGGAAATTGTAGTCCCAAACATCTGGAGGGCCGGAATTTGCCTATGCCTGCAGTAACTTATTAGAGTACAATGTACCGTATTTTTCGCCTTATAGGACGCACTTTTTCCCCTCCAAAAATGAAGGGGAAATGTGTGTGCGTCCAATGAGGTGAATGCAGGCTTTCGCTGAAGCCTGGAGAGCGAGAGGGGTCGATGCACACCGACCCCTCTCACTCTCCAGGCTTCAGGAAGCTATCCGCAAGCCTGCGGAGCCCGGCAGGAACTCCCGCCAGGCGCCGCAGGCTTGTGGATAGCTGCCCTTAGCCTGGGGTGTGCAGCGGGCTACAGCGCTGCGCTCCCCGGGCTTCGGATAGCAGCAAGCTCCAGGAGCGATGGCGAGGTTGAGCGCAACCTCACCATCGTTCTCGGACCCGTTCTGGGGGCTGGGGTCGGGGGAAGCTCAGGCTTCCCCCACCCCCAGCCCCGCAAGCTCGGGGGGGAAAATAATTTTTCCCCCCTTTATTCCCCCCCCAAGTGCGCCCTATAGGGCGAAAAATATGGTAATTATACCTGTACGGGACTGTAGTTTATTTTCAGTGTGTTACATCTGGAAAATACTGAGACTGTGCTTGCTCCTTTGATTATAAATACTACATGAGCCTTGAATTGTAATCCAGCATATTAGGAGAAATGGATGAACCATGAGAACACATCCTAGTCTGCATTTTAGTTGTGTTCAGATGGCTGTTTCAATTGCCCGTTTATGTCTTTTGTTTTTTACAGGAAGTCTCTCTGCTGGCATCCCCATTTCTCAAAGGGTTTCTTGCTGGCTATGTTGTAGCCAAACTCAGATCGTCAGCAGTCCTTGGATTTTTAGTGGGGACTTGTACTGGTGTGTATGCTGCTCAAACCTATGCAGTTCCTGATGTGGAAAAGACAATCAAAGACTATTTCAGTTCATTCAGGAAAGGACCAGACTAGAATATAGAATCTCATGTAGCAATACACTCCAGAAAACCCCTCTTATATTAGGCTTTCTAAACAATGTAAACTCAATTTAGGTCAGAAATGACTCCTGCTGCTCCCCTTTCACCAGTCATATCAATCGGAAGTGTTTTTATATTGGATGAGATGAAATTTCAGCAGGTCTGATTGTAAGTATTCTCAGACATTCAATCATGAAAAGTCTTGGTGGCTGCTTCAGCCATCCTGGGATTAGATAGTTCCTGACTATCAACTCGGACAGCTGCGTTTCTCACATGATGGGATTCTCATTCTGATGGAACACAGAGCAACTGCTGGGTCATCATGCCTGCCAGCTTTAAACTGGAACCCACCCCATGTCCTTTCATGTACCCAGAAAATGTGGCTTGAGTGGTTCACATTGTCCAAACCTTTTCTTAATCATGCATACATATTATACTGACATGTGAATCTCATCACAAATGTGTCATATTGCTCTGATTCATTGGATACTTCTGCCTTTCCATGAGTATGACATTTTTTTTAAAAAAAAACCCTATATTAACTTCATTTTTCTCCTCCTATAAAAGTTAGAGGTTGATATTTCCCTTGCCTCCACACTTCAGAGAAATGTTATTTGACAACGCTTGTACTGGTGATAGCCGGGTCAGCCCAGCTGCTGCTGTCGTACTTGGGAAAATCCGATGGGGGCTGATGCTGATGTTGTCTGTTTTTATCTATGGCTCCCATGCACCACTCCTGACTCTCAGTAAAGAAAATGGCCAGATCCCATTCAGTGCCTCCTCTGTGGTGGTTTTGATTGAGTTAACCAAGTTGATGCTCTCACTAGTCTTCCTGATGATCTGGGGCTGCGGACAACAAAAGCTATCTGTGTCATGGCATCATGCTGCTCCCTTTGCTCTTTCGGCATTGCTCTATGCAGCCAACAACAACTTAGTAGTTCATTTGCAGCTGTTCATGGATCCTAGTACCTTCCAAGTGCTCAGCAACTTGAAAATTGGAAGCACCGCCCTCCTATTCAGCATGTTCTTGCACCAAAGACTGACTGCCCGCAAGTGGCTAGCTCTTTTCTTGTTGATTGCTGCTGGAGCCTTTTATACATATGGAGGCCTGCAGGACCCACAGCACATGCCTGCTTCTGACATGCAGTTGCACATCACCCCCATTGGCTTAGTGCTGATCTTTCTATATTGCCTGATCTCTGGCCTTTCAGCAGTCTACACTGAAGTTGTCTTGAAGACCCAGGATCTGCCTCTTAACCTCCAAAATGCATTTCTCTACTTTTTTGGTGTTTTGCTGAACATAATCATCCATCTGTCAAGCAGCTCAGGGGCTGGGTTCCTGGAGGGTTTCTCATTTTGGGTTCTGTTAATTATTGTGAGTCAAGCCTTGAATGGCTTGATAATGTCTGTGGTCATGAAGCACAGTAGTAACATCACTAGACTCTTTGTGATCTCCTCCTCTATTATGGTTAATGCTTTGCTCTCTGTCCTCCTATTTGGTCTTCATCTAACCACCTTTTTTTTCCTTTCTGTTTTGCTGATTAGCTTCGCTGTTTACTTTTATTATGGAATCAAATAGCTTCCTTGCCTCTGTATCTTTAGATAAATCATTTATATGGAAAGAATTTGCTGCTTATAGATTTTACCTTGAAAAGAGTATAATAGAATGCACAAGTACTTTACACCTCCCTTGTGAATGGCTTAATAGCTATTGTTTCATACTTCTCCCTGGGCTCAGAAAAAGTATTTGTTTGGCTGAGCTGCAGCTTAAACCTAGTATGCTAGATCATTAGCCAGCAAGCATAGTTTGAGGAAGCAAATTGTTATCTAAAAGCCCACTTTCCTGTCATTTTGAATAGGCATTGGTGGAAAAGAGAAGAGTTGTATGTATTCTGTATATAGCTGGTTTCATCCCACAAGAGGTTAAAAATTATGCTTCCTTTTTTTGGTTACAGCTCAGTAGGATCTGCCACTCCTGGTATCAAACAGGAAACTGGACTCCAATATATCACTCCTCTACTCCTCCCCACTGTATTGTCTACCTAGTGTCTAGATTCATGAGTCCTCAAAAGGAAAGAATGAATTATTATTTCTTATTGAGCAAAAGCAGTCTCCCAGGCTCCCATTTCTACACTTGTGGAAAGGGAAGCTCAGTATCTTTCTTTTCTTTTTTAACTAACACTTTCATTGTTACTAATCTAGAAGAGTGTAGTATGAACAGCTATTTATTCTGCACAGGGAAGTGTTTTGCTTTTGATGTTCTTGGCAGAGGTTCTGCTTCAACCCAGTGATTACAAATGACAAGTGCCTTTTGCAAGTTAATGCCCTTCTGTGTTTGTCTGCTCCTGAAAGAGTCCATTGCTACCAGATAGTTTGTGATGAGTTGTGAATGTTTTGTAAAAACCCTCCAAAATAAATGGAGCACAGTTTCCTGTTACATTTCTCTGGACGTTTTCCAAACAGGACTCATTTCTCCCTTTCAGTATTGAAACTGAATGTGTAGACCTGCCTCAATATACAGCCAGAGGTTCCAGCCATGTAAACACACATGCTTAGCTTTTCCAGGTGATGTTCTGATAATCTGTATTCTGCTGAATTCAGCTGCTGGTAATTGGGAACACTATGCAGTGCATCACCATTTCCTTATTGAAGCAACTATAATCCACCTCATCCAACACTAAAGTGTGCAGGTAGCTTCTGACAACATTCACATTTCTGCTGCCACACAGTTGAAATTCCCCACACCCAAATATTTCTGCCTGTAACATGTACTTGGCATATATATATATATATATATATATATATATATATATATATATATGCTTTCGTAGATTTTCACGGGTACAGGAATGCAGGTTTTGGTGTCCTCGGGTGTCTTCCCGTGTAAAAGTTGGGGTGTCTAGGCGACGTTTCGACGAGGTCTCACTCGTCATCTTCAGGCTGGTGCTTTCGGCTTCTTGTTACTGGAACAGAGCAGGATCTCAGTGTTTGAGTTCCTATAAATACTGTTGAGGGGGTGTGGTGTATAGCCTCCAATGTTCTGGGCAGAGAGGAAGTTCCCAGGTTAGTGTGCCTTTTCTTCTTTTGTTCCTTAATTACTTGAGGGATATCTTGAGTGATTTCTTGAGTGATATCCTGAGTACCACTTAGGCTTTAGCAACTAATCCACACCTAATGACCCACCTAAGTGGTACTCAGGATATCACTCAAGAAATCACTCAAGATATCCCTCAAGTAATTAAGGAACAAAAGAAGAAAAGGCACACTAACCTGGGAACTTCCTCTCTGCCCAGAACATTGGAGGCTATACACCACACCCCCTCAACAGTATTTATAGGAACTCAAACACTGAGATCCTGCTCTGTTCCAGTAACAAGAAGCCGAAAGCACCAGCCTGAAGATGACGAGTGAGACCTCGTCGAAACGTCGCCTAGACACCCCAACTTTTACACGGGAAGACACCCGAGGACACCAAAACCTGCATATATATATATATATATATATATATATATATATATATATATATATATATATATATTTGCTACCAGTACAGATGTTCAGAAATGTACTGTGCGCCTCTTGCTTTGTTTTATCTTCAGTATTACTGATAAACTTAACAAACTGGGTTGACCACTCTACCTCTCATGCACCTTCTGTGCCAATGTCTGGAACAGGTGTGGTGGGGTAACAGCTCTAAATGAGAGCTATGGTTACATAGGGTTTTTTATTACCATTTGTTTTGCTTTTTTGCAATATCTCTCTGTGTTTATCTGTGGTGCTGCCGCATTTATTCTAGCTCATGATTTTGATAACATTTTGATAGCTCAGTGATTGGATGGGATTGTATCTGGATTGTTATACACTCAGGTTCAACTAGCATCAATTCAATGCAGCAAAAATGTCTAGTTTGAAATAAAAATAAAAATTTAGTTTACAGGGTTGTGTGTTTGTGTGATCTCTTATTGTTTGCTTGTTGCAGAGGAAACTATTTAAAATGCTGAAACATAAAGACAACTTTGAATTTGACATGGAATAGAATTGAGCACCTTCATGTGGAGATAATAGAGAAAGCTTAATCACACAACTCTTCCAGAACAGTTTCTGTGTGCAGGATCCAAAATAATTTACCACCACCTTCAAGGTTCAACGAAAGTTTCAAGGTGGGAGCACAGTACTTCTCTGATGTTTGGGAGAAGGTAGTTTCACTAGCCAGGCAAAGAGCAAAAGAACTGATCTGTTCCACTGGGCAAGCCTGCCTCTTCCGAATGCAACTTCGGGTTCCTCTTCCAGAGAAAATTATTTCAACAAATGTTTTACTATTTTGATTATGGTATCTTATGTTTTCCTTAGGGGACTGTTTTATTTAACACAGTTTAAATAATTGAGTGAAAGAAGCATATGTTTAGCACACATTCCCATATTCAGTTACAGTGGTACCTCAGTTTACAAACAGTCCTATTTACGAACTATACGGTTTAAGAAATCTGCAAAACTGGAAGTAGTGTTCCAGTTTGCGAGCTTTACCTCAGTCTACGAACGGAAGCCAAATGGTGGAAGGGCACTGGCGGCGGGAGGCCTCATTAGGGAAAGCGTGCCTTGGTTTAAGAACCAATTTGGTTTAAGAATGGACTTCAGGAACAGATGAAGATCATAAACCAAGGTACCACTGTATTTACATCTCCAGTGGACAAATGATCTTGAGTAGAAGAAAGCCTCCTATGGCTTTATTTTTAAACAGTATTATCTAACTTGAAGAAGGTAGCATAGTGACTATGCAGTGGTGTCCAAACTTTTTTTAAAGAGGGCCAGATTTGATGAAGTGAAGGGCCGTTGACCTTTATTTAGGGTTGAAGTTGTTGAGGTTTTTTAGGATTTTACCCCAGGAAATAAACTGCCACAGGGGCTGGATTAAACCGACCAATGGGCTGGATTAGGCCCCCCCCCAAAATAGACTTTGGGCATGCCTGATCTAATGGAAATAGACACAAAAATAATGAAATATAAGCAATTGAGAATATCTGAATTGAATAGGCTAGTCGAGGAGACCTCAGAGAAGATTGGCTTACAGTATTTACTATGGGTTCCATAGTAAATATTTGCTTGCTAATATGGGACAGGTGTAAACAAATATTTTTTCCAGTAATGTCATGTATATTACCAATACTTTATGGTGAGAGATTTAAGTTAGACACTTTGTGAACTTGCACATTTGGAGGGAAAAACAGCTGTACTTCCCTTAACTCCAAATAAGATCATATTTACTCAAATGGGTTAAACCACAGAGCCTAGGGCTTGCCGATCAGAAGGTCAGCGGTTCGAATCCCTGTGTTGGGGTGAGCTCCCTTTGCTCAGTCCCTGCTCCTGCCAACCTAGCAGTTCGAAAGCACGTCAAAGTGCAAGTAGATAAATAGGTATTGGTCCGGCGGGAAGGTAAACGGCGTTTCCGTGAGCTGCTCTGGTTCGCCAGAAGCGGCTTAGTCATGCTGGCCACATGACCCGGAAGCTGTACGCCGGCTCCCTTGGCCAGTAATGCGAGATGAGCGCCGCAACCCCAGAGTTGTCCGTGACTGGACCTAACGGTCAGGGGTCCCTTTACCTTCTTAATGCTCCATTAAATCTAATGCACACCTCAATTTTCAAAACCTTGAAACCAAATTTTTTTTGCTGGAGGATGTAAATGTGCCATCGAATCTAATGCACACCCTAATTTTTGCCATGTAATTTGGCCAAAAAAGGTGCACATTACATTCAAGTAAATACAGTAATCTGAGCATGTGGTAGAGAAAATATAGCTAACTGTACACACACCCTTCCAGTAGGGTAATAGTTTCATATGAGAAGAGGTAGTATTATATTGTGTTGCTCAATGCGTGGTGTGTAGAAGTGCATTGTAGCATTAAACTTAGAATCATAGAATCATAGAATCATAGAGTTGGAAGAGACCACAAGGGCCATCGAGTCCAACCCCCTGCCAAGCAGGAAACACCATCAGAGCACTCCTGACATATGGTTGTCAAGCCTCTGCTTAAAGACCTCCAAAGAAGGAGACTCCACCACACTCCTTGGCAGCAAATTCCACTGTCGAACAGCTCTTACTGTCAGGAAGTTCTTCCTAATGTTTAGGTGGAATCTTCTTTCTTGTAGTTTGGATCCATTGCTCCGTGTCCGCTTCTCTGGAGCAGCAGAAAACAGCCTTTCTCCCTCCTCTATGTGACATCCTTTTATATATTTGAACATGGCTATCATATCACCCCTTAACCTCCTCTTCTCCAGGCTAAACATGCCCAGCTCCCTTAGCCGTTCCTCATAAGGCATCGTTTCCAGGCCTTTGACCATTTTGGTTGCCCTCCTCTGGACACGTTCCAGTTTGTCAGTGTCCTTCTTGAACTGTGGTGCCCAGAACTGGACACAGTACTCCAGGTGAGGTCTGACCAGAGCAGAATACAGTGGCACTATTACTTCCCTTGATCTAGATGCTATACTCCTATTGATGAGGCCCAGAATTGCATTGGCTTTTTTAGCTGCCGCGTCACACTGTTGGCTCATGTCAAGTTTGTGGTCAACCAAGACTCCTAGATCCTTTTCACATGTACTGCTCTCAAGCCAGGTGTCACCCATCTTGTATTTGTGCCTCTCATTTTTTTTGCCCAAGTGCAATACTTTACATTTCTCCCTGTTAAAATTCATCTTGTTTGTTTTGGCCCAGTTCTCTAATCTGTCAAGGTCGTTTTGAAGTGTGATCCTGTCCTCTGGGGTGTTAGCCACCCCTCCCAGTTTGGTGTCATCTGCAAATTTGATCAGGATGCCCTTGAGTCCATCATCCAAGTCGTTGATAAAGATGTTGAATAAGACCGGGCCCAGGACAGAACCCTGTGGCACCCCACTAGTCACTCTTCTCCAGGATGAAGAGGAACCATTGATGAGCACCCTTTGGGTTCGGTCAGTCAGCCAGTTACAAATCCACTGAGTGGTAGCATAGTCAAGACCGCATTTTACCAGCTTCTTTACAAGAATATCATGGGGCACCTTGTCAAATGCCTTGCTGAAATCAAGGTAGGCTACATCCACTGCGTTCCCTTCATCTACCAGGCTTGTAATTCTGTCAAAAAACGAGATCAGGTTAGTCTGACATGACTTATTTTTCAGAAATCCATGCTGACTATTGGTGATCACAGCATTCCTTTCTAGGTGCTCACAGACTGTTTGCTTAATGATCTGCTCCAGAATCTTCCCTGGTATTGATGTCAGACTGACTGGGCGGTAATTATTTGGGTCCTCTCTTTTCCCCTTTTTGAAAATAGGGACAACATTTGCCCTCCTCCAGTCTGCCGGGACTTCGCCTGTTCTCCAGGAATTCTCAAAGATGACTGCCAGTGGTTCTGAAATCACATCTGCCAGTTCTTTTAATACTCTTGGATGCAGTTCATCTGGCCCTGGAGACTTGAATACATCTAGACTAGCCAAGTATTCTTGTACTATCTCCTTAGTTATTCTGGGCTGTGTTTCCTCTGCTGAATCATTTGCTCCAAATTCTTCAGGTCGGGCATTGTTTTCTTTATCAGAGAAGACT